TAAATAAAACAAAGGTCCGTTGACAACTAAAAATAAAATTAGGACTGAGGATATAACTTATAGTGATAAAGTGCTCACCCAGATGTGAGGCCCCAAGTTCAATAACTCATTCTGTACTCCAGTGGCCTAGCTAGTCTTTTTCTTTTTGGTATGGAGGATTGAACTCTGGGCACTTGGCCACTGAGGCACATCCCCTCTCCCTTTTTTATATTTTATTGAGTTTCTTAGGGCCTCCTTAAGTTGCTGAGACTGGCTTTGAACTGTTGCTCCTCCTGCCTCAGCCTCCTGAGCTACTGGGATTTCAGGCATACACCACTGCGCAGGGACCAGTCTCTTTTATGCCCAGGGACCAGTCTCTTTTATGCCAACCAGTACTAGATACTGGACAATCCCTTCCATGTGTAACAAATGTATTTTTTTTCCTCATTTTTTCTTCCTATGATGCTTGACCATTCTAATCCTAGCTGTCTGCAATATCAAGTCCTGTCTATAAAACCTGTCCTCGTTTCTGGCCCAAAACCATCCCTCTTTCTGGCCACTTAACATGTATATTTTGATATCTGATGATGTCTCCATGACATTCTACTTTGTCTGCAGACCATAAGGGAAAGGGATTGAGGGCTACATGTGTGACTTTGAAAATGTTACGTAAGTTCTGTGAGCTTCCATTTAATCATTTTTAAAAAAGAAGTCATACCTGCAGTGTTGTGAGGAACAAGCAAAAACACATTGTAAAATTAGCACACTGTGGCTGTGTGCAGTGGCACATGCCTATAATACCAGTGATTCCAGAGGATCCCAAGTTTAAGGCCAGCCTAGGAAATTTAACGAGGCCCTAAACAACTTATCAAGACCTTGTCTTGGGCTGGGGATGTGGCTCAAGCGGTAGCACGCTCCCCTGGCATGCGTGCGGCCCGGGTTCGATCCTCAGCACCACATACAAACAAAGATGTTGTGTCTGCCGAAAACTAGAAAATAAATATTAAAAAATTCTCTCTAACTCTCTCTTTAAAAAAAAAAAAGATGATGACCTTGTCTCAAAATAAAAAGGACTGGGGTTATAGCTCAGTGGTAGAGCACTTGCCTAGCACGTGTGAAGCACTGAGTTCAATCCTCAGCACTACATATAAATAAATAAAACAAAAGTATTTTGTCCACAACTTAAAGAAAATTTAAAAAAATAAAAAGGGTTGAGGATGTCGCTCAGTGATAAAGCACCCCGAGGTTTAATCCCCAGTACCAAAAAAAAAAAAAGAAAAAAACCCAGCATATTCTGTAGGCTTAAGTTAATCGGTATATTATGTCAAAATTAGCTTCTTGGAGTTGGGGCTCAGTGGCAGAGCACTTTCCTAGCATGTATGAGGCACTGGATTCAATCCTTAGCACATGTAAAAATAAACAAATAAAATAAAGGCATTCTATCTACAACTACAAAAAAAATTTTTTTAAAAAAGAAATTGGCTTCTTGTGAGCCAATATGTCATTCTTCCCTTTGTAGCTTCTCAATACATGTACATGGTAATTACTTGATTGAAAGATGTAGATAAAATTCTTATTTTATCTATAAGAATGTTTGTTCATTTGTTCATGTATCAAAAATTATTTCTTGGGCTGCAGCTGCACGTGATGGCACATGCCTGTAATTCCAGTGGCTCAGGAGGCTGAGGCAGGAGGATCTCAAGTTTGAAAACATCGTCAGCAATTTAGCGAGACCCTGTCTCAAAGTAAAAAAAATGAAAAATGGGTTGGAGATGTTGCTTAGTGGTAGAGTACCCCTGGGTTAGATACTCCCCCCCTTCTCTGTCTCTCTCAGACACACACACACACACACACAAAGTACTTTGCTCTCTGGAATGGAAAATGGGGGGAAAAATAGAAGGCACACTCTTTTTTTTCTCTGTATTGCCTAAAATAGTCATCATAAAGCCTAAAATAAAAATTAGCCCAAATAAGTATAGCACAGTTGCAGTGTATAAGCAACCATGAGAATTTTTTTTTCTTGGCTGTCCTTGATGAAGTTCTCAGCATGAGCTTTATTTTATATAGGTTGGAAGTCAAATGATAATGTTTGTGTCTTTCAGAAATCAGAGCCTCATTCTCTTAGTAATGAAGCATTAATGAGGAGGGCTGTGTCTTTGGTAACAGATAGCACCTCCACCTTTCTCTCTCAAACCACATATGCATTGATTGAAGCAATCACTGAATATACTAAGGTAGGTCTCTTGCTAAGTCTTTGATATTCTCAACCAGTTGTTTGCAAATTATGGCTCACAACCTAATCTGGTGGGATGTTTATTTTATCAGAACTTAGCCCAGCTCATTTATTTATGCATTGTCCTTGAGTAGTTTTAGTCCTCTGTTGAAGCCTAAAATATTTACTGTCTAGCTTTTACCAAAAAAAAAAAAAAAGCTGCTTGAGTCTTCATTAAATTTTTTTTTATGCTTTTTGTAGAATTTCCCTCCTTTTTTTTTCCCCGGGGGTGGGGGGGCGGAATATATATAGTAGCTCTATATATAAAACACACTCCAAGATAATCTGGTTCAAAAAGGGATAAAAGGGCCCAAAGTCTACCATCAGAGGTTACCCTGTGAGGATTATTTTAAAACCAGTGATTAGAGCTAAAAGAAAAGCATATATGGGTATTTAAAAGCAGCCAAGTCCCCGACTACTCAAGGGACTGAGGCAGGAGGGTAGACCCCAGGAATTGGAGGCCAGGCTGAATAATGAATAACATGGACCTGCTCTCAAAAAAAAAAAAAAAAAAAAAAAATTTTTTTTTTTGTAAATGCCTTATTTACACGTTTATTTTGTAAGTACTTTTTTCCCCTCAACCTTTTGATTTTTCCTCTACTTTGCATCTGAATTGCTAGCACATTTAAAAAAAAAAAAAACATGTTTTAGGTAAAGATGTAACTGTTCTGGAATGATGCCTTTATTTCTTAAGAGTAGTGTAATTTCAGTGAGGCACAAGGACTGGAGAGCCAGTTTGTTAAAATGGGACTTCACCTCTTTGAGGTATAAATATCACTAATCCTTCTAATGTGCCTCACTTATTTTACACAGATTTATTCATTCTGTATTTGTAGGCTGTTTATACCTTAATTTCTCTGTACCGACAATATACAAGTTTACTTGGGAAAATGAATTCACAGGAGGAAGATGAAGTATGGCAGGTGATTATAGGAGCCAGAGTTGAGGTAAGCAAAAGATTGTCAAGCACTTCTGTATTAGTGTTCCTACCTCATTGTGATGTCCAAATTTTTGGATTAAAGTGTCTAATAAACTATTCATTCTAAATCTGCTAGTTTGAATAAATCCATTTAACTCTTTGTATTGCCTAAAGCTTTTTGCTAACTTTACAGATGACTTCAAAACAACAAGAATACTTGAAGCTTGAAACCACCTGGATGACTGCAGTTGGTCTTTCAGAGATGGCAGCAGAAGCTGCATACCAATCTGGTAGGTTGAAGGGTTTTTTTGTTTTGTTTCTGATAAGGGAAGTACCAGTTGATTTTTCATCTTAGCTGTAAGATTAGAGATTTAGATTAGATGATGTAATTGATGACCATTATTTAGCTTTGAGAAATTTTCCCCATTTCCAAAATAACCAACATTTTATTTGCATATTAGGACAAATGACCACCCTTGTAGCTAGACCAGTTAGGGAACATGACCCCAAGAGGGACTCACATGACAGCCTCAGGGCCCCAGGCTTTCTTTGTGTCCATGTGTGCCTTCTACCCTGCTCAGGCAGTTGTCCCATCTTTTGGCAGGAGCAGATCAGGCCTCTATAACTGCCAGAAACCACATTCAGCTGGTGAAATCGCAGGTGCAGGAGGTGCGCCAGCTCTCCCAGAAAGCAGAAACCAAGCTGGCTGAAGCGCAAACACAGGAGCTACACCAGAAATCACAAGAGGGAAGGGACGAGAGGGCCGACCAGGAACAGGAGGCCTACCTGCGTGAAGATTGAGGGCCCAAGCTGGCTGCCCTTTCTACCCACTCAGTGGGGAAAGCAGAGGTAGATGCCATCCACCCAGCACAGCACAATTCTCTCTACCCAGAGAAGAGGCGGCAGGCCCTACCCTGGCCTATCAGGCCAGAAGCCTTTGTGAGCTCTGAATGCCTGGCCCTTTCCCCTATGGTCTCAGCTTTTACTGGACCTGGTTGTTAATCCATGGGCACTGTATGTGCCCTGTTTAACCTTGCACCCCCCTCAGCATACCTGCTCTCTCATTTTTAACCTTATACCCAAAGCATTTCACCGGCCAGGGCCAGAGAGGGGTCTTTTAGTCACTTCCTTAAGTTCAATAGCTGTTTAACCTCAGTTTCAAGCTTACTCAGATTTTCAAATATGATTTAGTATTTATTCCCTCCATAGGAATTTGAGTTTGGTGGGGAAGGGGAGACTGTCAGGTTTTTAAGATTTCTCTTTAAGCATATGTAATGCCTTCTCTGATATGGCCTTACCACCAGCTCCTTGTACAGGTAAGGCCAAGGAGCCAAGAGTGTAACTGTGAAGGGAATGAATGCAGAGTGTTCACCTGGTGCTCCCAACAGGACTTAACACATGCTTCTCGTGTTTCCTTCTTTGAGTTTCTCTATTGTAGCCAAAGGAGAATATATGTATTTTTTTCCACTTAACTTTTGTGTGTCTTCTGGGGCCCTATGCAGTCACCTTCCTTCATTGCCCATTGCAGAGCCCCAAAGGGCCCTAGGGATCCCCTTTGGATTTCTGGCAGTGTTTGCTAAGTTTTGGCTCTCGTCCAGCTAATGCTGGATACACCAAGTTTTAGCATTTTTTTTTTAATTTAAAAAAATTTTTAATTGTTGATCTTTGTTTATATGTGGTGCCCCAGCCCCAAATTTTAGCATTTTTATTTATTTATTTTTTTTAGTTTTCGGTGGACATAACATCTTTGTTTGTATGTGGTGCTGAGGATCGAACCCGTACCACACGCATGCCAGGCGAGTGCGCTACCACTTGAGTCACATCCCCAGCCCCAATTTTAGCATTTTTAATGAGAGCTAACAAGATAGGAATGGTTTACAAAAATGAAATCGGCATTTCTTTTAGACCCTCAAGGATCCATTTTTGAGGTTTTCAGTTTGTCTTCATGAGAATCAACTGAGTCAACTCTAGGGCTGTCGCTCCACTCACTCCTCAGTGCTGAAGCTTGAGGGTAGCTGCACACTTGAGCCCCTCGTCTGTCACCAGTGCCCACATGGTCCACATTTCCAGAGGATTCAGGCGGTGTACCAATAGGAGCCCTCTATATAGGCAAGGGTCCAGAGGTTGCTGTATTCCAAATGTTTTAAAGCCAGCATGGTGTGTAGGGTGTACCCCCAGCTTCTTCAGGCACATGCCCACAAAGACGACATCAATAGGAAAGAGCTCAGTCCCCTCCATGGCTGCTTGGAGGTGCCTTATTGTGGCTCTGGACATGACATAGCCTCCACCCCCAGCATAGGGTGGGTAGTGGTGTGCCTTATACATGGAGGGTGGGATGAAGTATTTGACTCTGGTGTTCCTATTGGGCAGGGCCTGGTGGATGACATCTCCCACCAGGAGGTCCTGGGCTGGGTCCCAGCCATCCAGGAACTCTAGCACATTGGGGACATGGACAAAGACATCATCATCTCCCTTAAGCATGAAGTGGGCATGAGGACAAGCACTTGCCACCCAGCGCTGTAAGTGCAGCTCCTTAAGGGTTAGGTTGAAGAAATCCTCCACAAAGTCCCACTGTAGGATATCATCAAACTCTCCACTCTCATAGGCCAGCAGCTGAGCTGGGGGTGTGGGCCCTGCCACTCCGAGTAGGAACACCAGCTTCAGCTGCCTGTCCCTAACCCAGCTCCCTGCTCGGCCCCAAGTGCTGCGGATAGCTGCACGTTGCTCCATGTGACCAGGTTGAGATTTGATGGCCAAGAGCAGGAAGGTGTCCTTGGCACAGCCTGAAGGCTCCAGCAGGATAGAGAAATTTCGGCAGTGGCGATAAGTCAAGAAGAGGCGGTGACGACCAGGCAGGGATAGGGAAGTGTTAGCCACTGTGCGATTGGGTAGGTACTGGCTGTGGTGAGCCCCAGAGGGTTCCCAGAAGGATTGGTGGGTCTTGAGGTCCCCTGCCAGGGGGACCTCCTTCTTCAGAAAGAGCAGACAGCTGAGCAGCAGTACCATGAGACTGTAGAACAGCAGCCAGCCCAGCCTGTGCAACATGGTGGGCCCTACAGGAAGAGAGTGCCTGAGCCATTCCTGTGCTCTACCCCTGACCCTGAGAGCTGAGCAGAGTCCTGCAACCCTGCAGCTAGTCTTTGCTGGCCTTCATTCAGGATTGCCTTTTATTCTCAACATATCCTTTGGCTCTTTGATTTTCTTCCCACCCCCAAGGATGAACTAAGTACACCTGCTTTGGCCTGCTTTCTGCTGAGGGGAGGGCTCTGGGGTCAATGTTTTCCCAAAATGACTTGCACTCATATTGACACCGTAAACATTCACAGCCTTTCCAGGAAACTACCTGACAAAGTTTCAGTGAAATGGGGCAAACTTAGTTTAGCTTTGCGTCAAATTCATTCTAAGCATGAGAGATGACATTCAGAGCTCTCCAAACCACTGCACCAGTTAAATGGCAGGCCCTATGTTGGGTGTTTCTGATGACAGAGCCCCAGGTACTGAGGTTAGGGACTGGAAGCTATGCAGCAGGGTAGCAAGAGAACACTCCCCACCTATCTTCTCTCAGTGTTCTGGATTTCTTGGTGGAATGAGCTGAAATAAGGTTTAAGTCAAAAATCACACAGCATGACAGGAAGAAAACCTGTATCAGGGAATATGCACTAAGGCTACCCTGCCACCTTACCCCTTCCTACCACTACTGAGTTTTGAGTTCTGTCGTGAAGTTTGTCAAAGAGAAGGTTGAGAAAAGCCAAATTTCAATTTCTCCTGTCATTTGCCTCTGCCTCTTTTCCCCTTTCACCCTCAGTCCCCTTTCCTTCATCTTCATTGCCACATCATCCCAATCTTTCTCCTTCAGTATGTCTAGCTGTATTAACATCATCCTTGTCCCTAACATTTCTAGTGCTAATTCAAGACAACACAAAATGCATACCAAGAGATGTACTGAGAAGAAGTTAATGAAGTGGCTTGGGGAAGGTTGCTTCACCTAAGAACTTGATAAGGGGATGTTCAAGCAAGACCTTTGAAGCAAGGGGTCAGATCACATAAAAATGTGGGGAAGTGCATTCCAGGCAGAGGCCACAGTTGTTTGTAGAGCTAAAGTAGCCAGGGTTGAGGAAGTGCGCTGGAGTGTGATTTGCTATGAATGAGGAGGAGGAAAACTAGCAAAGCCAAAGTGAAGTGAAAGCAGCAGCCCGAGGCGGTCAGGGAAGGGTTGAGGAGCACCACTGGAGGCTGTGGCAGAGAAGCAAAAGAATTTTCATTGTTTTAAGGTCACTGTCGCTGATGCTGCTTTGATGGACTATTAGAAAACCAAGTAATAAGACAGGGAGACCCTCTAGAGAATGAATTAGAGTTCAAGGTGTGGCTGTGGCATTGTGGCAGCTCCTGGATCTCAGTTATGCGGGATCTGCGGCTGTAGGGGAGGAAGGAACCCAGATGCGGGGAGGTTCCACTAGCAGAAAAGGGCGCAGAGCTTTGGTTCTGTTCGTGATATCTTAGAAAGCTCTCCCTGGCTCGCCAACTTGCGTAAATCCGCCTTTCGCCGTCCAAACTGCACGCAATTCCCCACAGGAGAAACCGGATCGAACGCCGCCGACGGCCTGAACCAGGGTCTCGCCAGGGGGCCTGCCTTGGTCCCACATACCTGCGCATCCTAATTTAACTCCTGCTAGCTGACGTCTTCCCCCATCGCTCTGCTGACCCCAAAGCCCGGCGTGGGCTTCAGAGGGTGCTCACACCCCGCGAGAGGGATGCAGAGTCCTGAGGGGCTGCGCGCGTTCCTGGGGTGACAGCTGCCTGGGTTCCTCACTGACAACACGCTACCGGGTGAGAAAGGGCCAACGTCAGGTTCATTTCTTCCAACACAAGGGTTTCCTGTGGATGAAAAGGACTGCCCTCGCCAGAGCAAGGACCAGCACCGCTAGGGGTACACACTCTTCCCCGGACGGAGCACGGCGGGTAGCGCGCGGCGGCGGGGCAGGTTGCCCAGGTGGGCCCGGGCACCATTCTGCCCTGAGAGGCGCGAGAGCCTAGCGGCCCTGGGGCCTCGCACCACGCCAGCCGGAGGTCGCCCACCAGCCGGGAAGTGCGTGGCCAGAGTCGGCGCCGGTAGCCGCGCAGTGCCGGGCGCGGAGGCACGGGCAGCCCACGCCTCCTCCCCGCGCAAGAGTGGCAGCCGTCCCAGGCCCTGCACGACCTGTCCCCCTGACGTACCTAAGCGTGACTCCGGGTCGGGGCACAGGAGAGAAGCTCGCACCGCGGAGCCAAAAAATGGAGCGCTTCAGGGAGCCGAGCTCGCGGGGCTCGGGCCGCCGGCGAGGCCGCGGGCGGAGGCGGGGCTTCCGGGGGCGGGGCCGCCGCGCGCCCGCCCAAGTGGCCTCCGCAGCCCGGGGGCTCCAGCCCCGCCTCGCTCTCCCTCACCCTGCGGCCGCCCTCCCGCCCGGGGCGCTCCCGGAGGCCCAGACACGCGGCGAGACGGAAGCGGAGGCGCGAGTGCGCAGAACAGCCTTTACTCGGGCGCCTAGAAGCGGAGCGCCTCCTCCGCGGTGCGGTACTGATTCAGCTGGATCTGGACCTCCACCGTCAGCGGCTCCGGCTGGTAGTCGCTGTCGAAGCTCGGCATCTGCAGTTTTGACTTTTCTGAGAAAATTAAAACATAAGCAATGAGTCCGGAGCGATGTGGGGACTGCGGTCTCCAAGCACTGAACACATCCCCAAAACCCAAGTCCAGGGAGGCACAACTCTGAATTGGATCCAGCTCTGTTAATAGAGTAGGGAATAGAATTGCGTTTAATTGGAGCATTTAATGAGTCACAGCTGTTTGAGTTACAAGAAAAATTAGCTGTTTCTTTCTTAGACCATTTTAAGTTGAACTCTGACGAACTATGCATGTACAGTCTTGGGTATTTGACAATTATTTTCTTTAAAATGAAGTAAATATGGCACTTTGGGGAAAACACGGGACTGAAAGCATTTTGATAAATTTATAACATTTGAACTTTCAGGTAGAAATTAGAATTTTGGAACACTGCCACCATGAACTCAAGGTTCCCAATACTCCAAGTCTTTTCTAATGATGTGGGTGGTGGTATTTAAGAACGTGACTTTTGGGGCTGGGGTTGTGGCTTGGCTGTAGAGCGCTTGCCTAACGTGTGAGGCACTGGTTTCAATCCTCAGCCCCACATAAAAATAAATAAAATAAAGGTATTGTGTCCATCTACAACTGAAAATGCTTTTTTAAAAAACGAATGTGACTTTTGGATTTTTAATGGAATGTGTAAATCAATGTTTGTTATTTTACAAGTAACCGTGTTACCAGTAGTGCATGGTTAAAATATCCATTCAAAATGCAAAATAAAACGGTTATGGAGGCGCATGCTCCGGAGGCTGAGACCGGAGGATCAGGTTCAAAGCCAGCCTCAGCAAAAGCGAGGCACTAAGCAACCCAGTGAGACCCTGTCTCTAAATAAAATATAAAATAGGGCTGGGGATGTAGCTCAGTGGTTGAGTGCCCCTGAGTTCAATTCCTGGTGTGTGTGTGTGTGTGTGTCAATGTACTTTAATGACTAATTGGATTGAAAAAAATCAATATATATTCAGTTTTCACTTTGTAACAAATGTAATAAGCTAGCTTGTCAAATTCATTGTAACATCAAGGAAGAATATCCATAATTCTTTGAAAGCCTATTAAAATATTCCCCTCTTTTCTAATTATGTGTTGGTATGAGGTTGGATTTTCCTCATACACTTCAACAGCAATATATCAAGAGTTTTGCTGTAGAAGCAGATATGAGAATCCACTGTCCTGTTAATCCAGACATTTAAAAGATCTTTCAAAACAAACTTGAAAAAAAAAATTTAACTATCACCAGGCAGCCTGCCCATAATCCCAGCTACTCAGGAAACTAAGGCAGGAGGATTAGAAATTCCAGGACAATACTTTGCAGGATCCTCTCTCAAAAGTAAAAATAAAATAAAAAGGGCTAGGGATGTAGCTCAGAGGTACAGCACCCCAGGTTCACTCCCCAGTACTGCAGAAAAAAGTTAAACTATCTTATCTCCACAGATAAGTGCCACAAATCATGTGCCCATATATGCATGGTCTTGAAAGCCCAATAGTATGAACCTCCCAATTCATTCTTTCTCAGAACTGTTTTGGGTCCTTTTCCTATGAATTTTAGAATCTGCTTGCTGAGCTGGGTGTATTGGCACACATCTGTAATTCCAGCAACTCAGGAGGCTGAGGCAGGAGGATCACAGGTTTAAGGTCAGTCTCCACAAGTTCATTGAGATCCTTTCTCAAAAACAAAATACAACAAGGGCTGGGGATGTAGCTCAGTGGTAAAGTGCCCCTTGATTCAATCTCTAATATTGGTGGTGAGGGGCAATACTTAAGTTTAAAAAAAAAATCTGCTTGCTGATTTCTATAAACCATAGACTTGGCAGGATCATTCCATTATGTGGAATCTATAGATCATTTGAGAAGAACCTACATCTTAACAATATTTGAATCTCCTAATCCCTGCTCATAGTATACCTCTCCATTGATATAGATCTTTAATTTCTGTTCACAATGTTTTCTAGTTTTCAGTGAACAGGACTTCCACATCTTTTGTCACATTTATTCCTATATCATATTTTTCAATGCTATTTCTTCTTTGACCCACAGGTTATTTAGAAGTATGTTGCTTAGTTTCTAAAAAATTTGGGATTTCTTGGATCAGGATTTTACAGTTTCAGTTTTCATCTTCCCCCCACCCCACCCCCCATTTTATAGGATTTTGCAGTATTGTCCAGGCTGGTGTTGAAATCCTGGACTCAAAGGATCCTCTCACCTCAGCCTCCCCAGTGCTGGAACTACAGGCACATACCACCATGCCCAGCTCAAATTTTGAAATGTGCTGGACACAGTGGTGCACGCCTACAATCCAAGCAGTTCAGGAGGCTGAGACAGGAGGATCTTGAGTTCAAGGCAACCTCAGCAATTTGTCAAGGCACTTAGCAGCTCAGTGAGATCCTGTCTCTAAATAAAATTTTTAAAAAGGGTTGATGGGCTCGGGATGTAGCTCAAGTGGTAGCGCGCTCGCCTGGCATGGGTGCAGCCCGGGTTCGATCCTCAGCACCACATACAAACAAAGATGTTGTGTCCACCGAAAACTGAAAAATAAATATTGAAATTCTCTATCTCTTTCTCTTTAAAAAAAATAAAATAAAAATAAAAAAATAAAAAAAGGGTTGAAGATGTGGCTCAGTGGTCAAGTGCCCCCGAGTTCAATCCTCAGTACCAAAACAAAAAACAAGTTCTTTAAAGGTATCAGCAATGATTTCTTCAGGCATTTTTTCCCATTTTTTTAAAAATATTTTTTAAGTTGTAAATGGGCACAATACCTTTATTTTATTTGCTTATTTTTATGTGGTGCTGGGGATTGAACCCAGTGTCTCATGTATGCTAGGCAAGCGCTCTGCCACTGAGCCCCAAACCCATCCCCTTTCCTGTCTTTTGAGAAACTCCAATCACATGGATATTAGGCCCTTGGAAATTTGTCTCAAAATTTATTGATATTCTTTCATTTTTTCCTACTGATTTTTCTCCTTGAGTTTTATTTTGGACAGTTTCTACTGCTCAAGTTCACTAATATTTCCTTTTATATTGTCTAATATGCCAATAATCCGTTGAATGTATTTTTCATATGACACTATAATTTTCATCTCTAAAAGTTTATATTCATTATTGCTACTTAACAGATTCAATTTTTCCTCAAGATTTTTTTTGGGGCGGGGGGTACTGGAGATTGAATCTAAGGACGCTTTACCACTGAGCTACATTCCCAGTTCTTTTTTTATTTTTATATCTTTCTTAATCTCTTAGTATATTGTAGATATACATTATAGTGGGGTTTGACATAGTCATAAATGCACATAACATACTTTTCTGAATTTAAATCCCCAATACTCCCTATTTTTCTCACAACCTCTTCTCTAAGCCCTGAGCTCCTTCCTCCAGTCTATTGGTTTTCTTTCTATTTATTTATTTTTCTTTGTTTAATTGGTATATTATAGTTATATATATGGAGAGAGAGAGAGAGAGAGAGATAAAATTTTATTTTTTATTTTGAAACAGGACCTTTCTAAGTTGCTGAGACTGGCCTCACACTTGTGATCCTCCTGCCTCAGTCTCCCAAGTCACTGGAACTGCAGATGTGTTACTGCACCCAGCTCCTCTAGCTTCTTGAGTGTATGGAATAAATTATAATAACTGCTTTAATATTCTTGTCTACTGATTCTATCTTACATGTCATTTCTGAGTCAATTTTGGTTCTCATTATATATTGTATTTCTTGTTTTTTTTCCATGCTGTGTAATTTGCCGGGGTTGGGGGGTGGGGGGTACCAGGGATTGAACTCGGGGGCATTCAACCACTGAGCCACATCCCCAGCCCTATTTTATATTTTATTTAGAGACAGGGTCTCACTGAGTTGCTTAGTGCCTCGCTTTTGCTGAGGCTGGCTTTGAACTCGTGATCCTCCAGCCTTAGCCTCCAGAGCCGCTAGGATTACAGGTATGCGCCTCTGCACCCGACTCATGCCTAGTAATTTTTTATTGGATGACAGACATCATAAATTTTACCTGAGGGATATTTTTTTGTATTCTTAATGAGATTTGTCCTAAGATACAGTGAGGTTTGATCCTTTCAAATCTTGCTTTCCCTTCCTGATCTTTTAAAAACACAAATCTGAAGCTTACCTAGTTCAGAAACTTCACTGGCCACTCAGAATAAATCCAGGCTTCTTATCTGACCAATTAGAGCTGCAGCCAAAAGAACCCTGAGCCACCTCAGCTCGGTCCTTCCTCCAGGGCACCACAATGCCCTTCCCTACCCATCACCCTGCACAGCAGGCTGCTGCCTCTGGGACATGCAGGGAGGATGGGGGTCCAGTCCTCAGGGTGGATGTGGCCTCCCCACTGGCTGGAAGATACAGTTCTCAGTCACCCACCCTGTGGCTTCCAGTCAAGGCTGGCCCTTCAGCAGGGCCTCAGCAACCAGCCCTTGCCATCTGCCACCACACGCGTTGGCTCTTACCCTTTTTGGCCCCTTTCTTGGTCTTCTTTAAATCCTGAAAGAAAGAATGACCAAATAAGATACTGACTGGGGTCAGGGGCTGCTGGGGAAGGGGCAGATATAGACCCCAAGGAGGCCTGGGGGCTCCCACCCATCCCAGGGCCTCTGACTGGTCCAGGAGGGTGGGGGGCTCCAGGTGAGGAGGTGCCTGAGCTGGCCCACACCGGAGGAGCGTCAGCCGCACTCCCAGGGGAAGGTCCCT